TGCTCTGCGAGGCTCTTAAGGATCCTCGGAGGCGTGTTCGGCTCAACGCGCCTGGGCTTGGCTGTGCTGTAGGGTTTAGGGTTTAGGGTTTAGGGTTTAGGGTTTAGGGTTTAGGGTTTTAGGCTTGGGGGGTTTAGGGTTTAGGGTTTTAGGCTTGGAGGGTTTAGGGTTTAGGGTTTTAGGCTTGGGGGGTTTAGGGTTTAGGGCTTCAGGCTTGGAGGGTTTAGGGTTTAGGGGCTTAGGGTTGGGGGGTTTAGGGTTTAGGGTTTGGGTTTCGGGCGGTCTCACAAGGAATTGCCTGATGGTTCTATGGTTCGTCCGAGTTCTTCTTGAAGAGCCCTCTTCTCAGTTTAGCAGAGGGCTGTCCTCGTGGTGGCATCAGCAAGACTCATGTCTTGCAAGCGTTAAACACCCGGACCCTCTTCAAAGCATCATGGGACTTTTTAACAGGCTTATCATGTTTGGGGTGCTTAAGCTTTCTAACGAAGTCCCGGGATCCTCCACGACACCCGGAGCATGCCATGATCATAGCGCCCTACTGTCGAGGCATTGAGCGTGGGATGGGCTTTCGAGTCCGTGTCCGTGCGTGTGCTGCATGTCAATTCACGAGCGCAGCAGATCTTTTACCGATGCTCGGGCCGAAACGATTTAGGGTGTAGGGTTTAGTTTTTAGGGTTTCGGCTTTTAGGGTTTAGGGCTTAGGGCTGATCTTGAGACTGAGGGGGAGAGCTTCGTCAGGATCCTGTCGTCGTCCTCTTGTAGTTCTCCCTCTCTCTCCCCGTTTCTCTCTCTGTCTCTTCTCCCCCCGTGTCTCTCTCTTTCTCTCTCCGTCTCTCTCTCTCTCTCTCTCTCTCTCTCTCTCTCTCTCTCTCTTTCAAGTTATGCCTGTTGTGCTTTCCTTCGCTCTTCCGCAGGTTTTTGCTTGTACCGGCAGCGCTTTTCTTGGCAGGGTGTCGGGCCGAGGCCTTGGATTCGATCTCCACGACGAGCCGGCGCCAGAGCCGACACAGAGCATGCTCGCGATGCACTTTCGCCGGCATGAAGATCAGATCCTAACGGTGACCCTATTTATAAAGCCTAGCCCAAAACCCTAACGGTTAGCCCTAACGAGCCCTGCGTTCGCTCCGAAGGCCGACAAGATCCTAAATCATTTTTGGTAGTCTTGGTAAATAGGGGGTTTGGGGTATGTTATAGTATACAGGTGTGCGAAGATGATCCGCCGTGCCCAGCATATCCCGGCACCGCCAAAGGAGCGAACAAAAGTGGCACGCTACGCACCTCGGTTCTCTCAGATAATGGATGTGGTGAGCAGATTTCCTCTTCAGCTCGTTGGGGTTTAGGGCCTTGGAAACTCCATGGCCTTGCAGCACGAGGTGCAAATGACATTCGCTCGGTGGCACTACAAGAACCTCCGCCTGGACCTGGAGAGGCAGATCTTCAACTGCCCCATGCCCGAGCCGAAGAAGAAAGAGGGCGACCCCTCTCGGGACGACGACTCGGCGACGCATCCCTCCATGCCGGAGTTGATTCCCGTTTACCAGTACTGGTTGGACTCACCGCGGGCTCCCAAGCTGTCCTTCGCTCTCAGTGCTCCTGCGCTAAGAAATTCGCTCCAAGGCCTGCCGATGAAGATCCATTCGCCCAGATCCAGGGGGTACATTTCTAGCGACTCGGATCACTGACCTTGCTCCCGAACAAGATGTGAAGGCGCCGCAAGTGCCGACTAGTGCTGCACTGGATGAGGTCGGGCCAGGTCAGGCACGTTCAAGGTGGTTCAAGCCAGCAGTGACGGGTGTGACCACTGGGGTAAAGGAAGCTACAGGACTGTCTAGAACTGTCACCTCTCCGTCAGCAAGAGCAGAACAAACACAACTTGGACTAGACTCTAACCCCCAAACGATCGGCACCAGAGGTACTGCAAGAACTCTCTCAAGATACCAGCCTTTCAAAGTGGCAGGACCCGAAGACCGTAAATTCTTAAAACGATCACAAGCCAAAGCCCGACAGCCTCAAAGCCCTAGCGCTCCTAAGGTGACACAGTGACCCCAGGAGCAGGCTGCTGCCGGCGTCCCGGCTGGGGACGCTTGATCGTTTCACTGACCTTACAAAAAAGACGCTGAGGGTTTGGGGTGTAGTGTTTTGGGGTCAGGCCTCGAATTAACTGGAGGAGGTCCAACATTTTGTGCGGTTTCGGCTTTGTGGGTGCGCACAACAGGAATGGAGTGTGTAGCTCGGGTGCTTTCATGTGGCCGTTTGTGCTCAAGTTGTGGAAACGAGAGACGCAGATTTTCTCACGGTACTGCTCGCACGGACCGCTTGACCTCAGTGGTGCTGGGGCACTCACAGAAGCTCGGCAACCCTAGATTAGTGTTGAGGGTTTTAGGGTTTAGGGTCTGGGGGGCCCTGGATCCCGTTGTAAATTCTGGAGGTCCGAATCGTTATTACGATGTGTGGAACTAGGACGATTCGGGGTACACAGTCAGGGTTGCGTTGTGAGGAGAAGCATGCTAGGAATTACAAACAAGTAAGCGGGGATGGTCTCTATGATCGGGCAAACAGCAGTCTCAGGAGCCAACCCTAAACCCCAAACTATAGCGCCTAAACCCTAAATCATAAACCCTACACCCTGAAATCCTAGAGCCTTAATCCCTAAACCTCTAAAACCCCAAACCCATCAGTCCCTCAAAGTCAGATCTTGAGCACCCCAAGCCCTGGACCGGGCCGGCCTAGTAGCGCAAGCAATTTGGACCTCGATGGTTTAGGGTTTAGGGTTTAGGGTTTAGGGTTTAGGGTTTAGGGTTTAGGGTTTAAGGTTTAGGGTTTAGGGTTTACTGGGCTTTGGAGTACCATACTCTAACACTTTTTTGGGGGGGCCCTGTTCCTTAAAGGAGCCATTATGAAACAAAAGTCTATGCTTTTTTCGCCCCGTTTACTTCTTCGCCCAGTTTAGAGTTTAGGGTTTTTGGGGTTGGGGGTTTTTGGGGTTTAGGATTTAGGGAGCCCGCAAGTCTGATTATTGATATGATTCGTATTATAGCTTAATAAGAATACAATATTCTATCACTAGTAATATCAATGTTTCTATTACTCTTATTTTCCTTATTCTATGGTTATCATCTCTTACCGTTGAAGCACCTTCTGAGGACAAGTGTTGGGGATCAAGCCGTGGGCTTTGCAGCGCTGCCTCCATGTTGTGGCTGTCTTTCCCTAAACCCTAAAATTCCCTAAGCCCGAAACCCCAGAATTGCCAAACCCCACAGTGTCCTAAGGAGGAAGCCCGAACTCCGCCCTTTGCTACCAGAATCCTTGGGTTTAGGGTTTAGGGTTGAGGGCTTTAGGGTTTAGGGTTTACGGGTTTAGGGGTTTAGGGGTTCGGGTTAAATCTAGGATTTAGGGATTTGGGGTTTAGTGCTACCAGGATCCAGGTGGAGTTTTTCCCACTGAAGAGATCAGATAGGTTAGCATGACAAGTGGACCCCGAAACAACCTTCAACACCTCTAGGCCTACACCTTGAAGGCTTGACGATCCTTAGTGCCTCTAAACGCCCTAAGAGCTAAGGAGCTTTAAGCCCTCGGCGCTTAGGGTTGGGGGGTTCAGGTTTAGGGCCTAGGGTTTTGGGTTTAGGATTTGGGTCTAAGGGTATGTAAGATTCATGGGTTCAGGGCTTAGCATCGAGGACTCGGGAGCTATGTCCGTAGCTACATCGTACTCCATTCGGTCTCAACCTGTCTGTTTCTGCCAGCGCAATTGCCTTGGACCCAAATCCTAAACACTAAACCGTAAACCTCATTTCCACTGTAGAGATGTCCCAACCTTCGTTGACTTTGTGACCACCATGCAGCAAACCCCTGAGCGCTATCTGTAGCCGGCAAGACCTACATGTTTAGTATCTAGAGTGCCTTATTATGGTTTCTATATAGACAGATAGATGGATAGATAGATGGATAGATAGATAGATAGACAGACAGATAGATAGATATATAGCTCCTGGAAAGGGCACGTCTTTTGGGTCACAGGCAAGCCCTAAACCCTGAAGCCAAACCCTAAACCCCAAACTCTGTGCCGAAAAAGCCCAAAACCCAACACCAGACAAAGACTAACCCTAAACCCTAAACCCTAAACCCTAAACCCTAAACCCTAAACCCTAAACCCTAAACCCTAAACCCTAAAGACAAAGACTGGAGCTCCAGAATCCAAGGCACCTGTGAAGTTTCTGAGCCATGGTAATGCTCATCATGGGCATAAGATACAGGATTCAGTGTTCAGGGTTTAGGGTTGTTAGGGTTGTTAGGGTTTAGGGTTTAGGGTTTAGGGTTTAGGGTTAGGGTTTTTAGGTGGTCTGCATAACTAGTACAACTATGCCTTCTAGCCCCTGTTATATCAAGAAGAGCATACTCGCCGAAATTGTATGTTGCGTACTACGGCCTCTATGGTAACTCACCCTTCCGGAGAGCTCTCTGAGACATGCAGGGAGGCTTTCGAGTTTGCTGTTTGGGGACGGCTACGGTTTTGCCCTAAACCCCAAACCCTAAAACTCCAAACCCTAAACCCTAAACCCTAAAGCCCTAAAACCTAAACCCTAAATCCTAAACCCTAAATAACCACTGAAGCCCGAGCTCCCGAACCCCCCGGAACCCGTTTTCCACAGTGAAGATCGAAGTCGGGGTTTGCCAGGCCTAGCTATGGGCCCGGCTGCGAAAGGTGGGACACTACGACGGATCTTCGAATTGGGGCGTAGGATTTTGGAGTCGGGATTTTGCGTTTTGGGGCTTGGCTTTAGGATTTGCGGTTTTCAGTTTACGATTGTGGTTCTAGGGTATTGGTCATAGGTCCCCACGTCGTACTAGGGCCGCTGCATGTAAGGCACAAGAGAGCTTCGGAAACCCTAACCCAAAGCCCAGCTTCGGAGTGATTCAATTCTGAGAGTTGAATTGCTGAGCTCTAGGGTTCAGGGTTTCTGAGCTTTTGCGCCAAGCGGGGTTCCAGGTGTTCTGTAGCGGCCTTGGAAAAATGAGTCTGGCACGCCCTGGCGGTGTGAATTTGCGAGCCATTCTGTTGTCGTAATCCTTGTAACATTGTAGAACCCTTGAAAGGACCCTTGTTCTCATTATTAAGGCATGAAGCCACGCAAACCCTAAACCATAAACCCTTAACCCTAAACCCTAACCCCTTAAACCTTGAACCCTAGACCTTAAACTCTAAACCTAGACCCTAAACCCTGAAACCGAGATCCGCGTCTTCGATTGCAGGCACTACCCGAGAGAAGCCACGACCGAGACCGTTGAATCTCCAGGCTCAGCTGGTTTTGGGGGCTCCGGGGTTTAGGGTTTAGGGTTTAGGGTTTAGGGGTTTAGGGTTTAGGGGTTTAGGGTTTAGGGTTTAGGGTTGAGGATTTGAGGGGTTTAGGGTTCAAGGTTCAGGGGTTTCGGGTTGAGAGTTGCGGACTTAGGGGCTCCGGGGTTTAGGGTTGAGGATGTAGGGTTTAGGGTTTAGGGGTTCAAGGTTTGGGGGTTTAGGGTTTAGGGGCTTAGGGTTTAAAGTTTAGGGGTTTAGGGGTTTAGGGTTTAGGATTTAGGGTTGAGGGCTTTAGGGCTTTGGGGTTCCGGGGTTAAGGGTCAGGGTTGAGGGCTTTAGGGTTTCGGGTACAGGGGTTTGAGGGTTCCGGGGTTTAGGGTTGAGGATGTAGGGTTTAGGGGTTTAGGGTTCAAGGTTTGGGGGTTTAGGGTTTAAAGTTTAGGGGTTTAGGGGTTTAGGGTTTAGGATTTACCTGTGGCTCTGCTTGCCTGCCGTTTTGTCGGTAAGGTCAAAAGACCCACTGCCT